TTTGCAGAATGCGAAGAATTCACGGCTAAGTGGAAGATTATGCGCAAAAGACCAGACAAGAAAACAAGGAAACAATAATAAATAAACAATAAACTGATAGTTTCGAAATAGGCAATCAACATCCATCGTCAAAGTAAACGGTGGGCTAAACGATAAAATCGTAAAGAGGAAAGGATATGGTTTTGATTCATTTGTAGTCGGTTTTAGACTCTATCGTCTCTATAGAATCACTCTATGCACAGTAGGAATGTAGAAAAGCGGAGTTTCGAAGCATCCCTTAGTAGATTGATGTTGGAGTAACTTTTGATTTTGTTTAAAGAGGCAAGTAGGAGTTGGTTCCACCTGAAGTTGTGATTGTAGATGATGAATTCTTTCATACATCATATCATGGGCGTGTCCAGAGCAGGACACCATGCTCAACGAGAATTCACCAAAAACACGAAAGCAGGAAAGGTGGCACTCTTTAAACCTACCTACTTTTTATAGTCATCACATGTTTTGGTTGGATATCTTATGCTTGCCTAAATGTTTGCTTAAAAGTTGAGTTGAGTGGCTGCAGATGAAGCGAGAAACCGAACATTCATACCTTTGATCCTGCAATGCAACTGCATATGATTGCGTTCCATTGAACACGTGAGGTGTGAATGAATTACTCTTGAAATGAGCGTCATGTGAGAGTCAAAGCCAGATCCAAGCCCAACCAAGTCTCTTCCTCTTGCTCGGTTGAACTTCTCTTTCCTACTCTCACTCTCTCTCGCTCCCCAACCCTATCCACGTCACACTCATTTCAAGAGAAATGCATGCACTGGAACGCAATCATATGCGGTAACGTTGCAGGATCAGTGGCATAAGTGTTTTAGGGGGGATACAGCACCCGTTTTTTAAGCAAACATTTGGACTATGCATATGAAATCCAACCAAAACATGAGACTCCCCATTAAGTAGACTATAGGAAGTAGGTAGATTTGAAGTCAGCTACTTTTCTTGTCTTCGTATTTTGGGTTAATTATCGTTAAGCATTTTTCGCATTTACGTATTCTTTCGAGACTACCAGTACCTCAGTAGTATGAGATGTATTCACCCGATTTTGTTGAAGGTCATGAAGGACTGGCAGTAGAATTTTCCCACAATGATATGAGTAGAGCTGACATTCCCTTTGAATTTCACATATCCTTGCTTTCCCAAAAGTTGTTACATCCCAGCTGGAGTGGACTGTAGTTTCGACCTCGCAGTCCATCCTGGATGAGAAAAACTTTTGGGAAAGCAAGGCTGTGTCAAATTGAATGGAAACGTCAGCTTTAGTCACATGTTTGTGGGAAAATTCTACTACCATTCCTTCGTCATCTTAAACGAAATAAGGTGAATTCATGTCATATCCTTAAACATATTGTCCTGCTCTGACAAGGTCCACAACATGACGGACGAAAGCTCAGCACAGATTCAGCTGAGTTGCAGGGCGGTGCGGCGAAGACCTATTCGCACAAATCTACAATCACAGCTCGAAGACAATCTTCCGGTGGTACCAATTTACGACCCCTTCCACTCGCCTCTTCAGACAAACTAAAAGATATACATCACTCTATGCACATGCATCGATATCGCGCAATTGAACTCCACTTATGTACTCAGGAAAGTTTATGTGGGCCCATTAAAATCCTCTTTATGCCTTACTCATATGCATCCGAAAGTGGGGAGGATAGGAACAATATGGCCAATAAAACCATGGAATTCCGATTTAACACTAAATTTGAGATGATACAAGTAGGCAGAATTGTTATCTCCAAGCATTTTTGGTGTTGTGCATTTGTGAAGCTTCACAATTTGTCATGTCATCCATTGGAGAGACGGTCAAAATATATGCAAGCCTAATTTGGAGTCACATGACAAAGCAGTGAGGAATTATTTGCGCGAATCCGCAGACACAATTGCAATGCAATTCATTTTTGATTTCCGGTTGGGTTAATGTAATAATCCTGTCCACCTCCTTTTATAAATGAAAGGAAATTAAGATGTCATTAAATTGTCTGTAATTACTACTACTACTACTCATCTACTACTACTCATCCGGCACTGTTGGAAGATACCAGCAATGGGAATCAAGTCCTTGTTGACCAGAACACTTGAGTGCCAAGTGGGAGTTTTAGGAACCCGAATGTTTTTAGAGATATTTCCACCTCACGTTCGTGAACAAGTCAGTTTCTCATGGAGACTGCCTCCACTTCCATTGTTGCCATATGCTCTTCAGGCTTTGGTATGTTGCTATATCGTCAATGAAAAGCGCCATTCAGATTGTAAAGTTACATTGTTTAGCTGAAGTGCGATGTCAAGTAAAATTTATAAGATACCATACTTGCTTATAATTATTTTGAGGAAGGCTATCTATAATTTAATTCTCATCATCTATAATTTGTACTTCTATATGATTAAATTATTTCCTGATTGCAATAATGTGAATAGATGTCATGTTTTCAATAATTTTAAATTAGTCTTGCTTCCAAAAAGGGATTCTCATTAAAGTTTGGCTGAAGTTTAGACCTCGCCTCGGCCTCCTCAGCGCCTACAGCCGTACTCGAACCCGGGTTGTGGTAGCACAACCGAGGTAACCAACGGCAATCCAACCCAAAGTCCTCTTAATCGGTCACTCTCTCTCATGGGGTGACATAAAGGCTGTCTAAAAGATAAGAATCAGGTAGATAAAGGAGGTGAGCTATTGAAAGGTGTCATGGGAAAATTTTCCCAAGTAGTCAAGGGCCTCATAAATATGACTTTATCGCCCCGTCTTCTTGCAGTCTTCTGCAAAAGACTTGGGCGCCCTGGTCTAGTCTACCGGTTAGTGGTTCAATTTTACCTGCCTGGGCGCATGCTTGAGTTGGGAAATGGTGTACGGCTTTTGGGAAGATCTTATCCTCTCACAGCCCTTTTCGGCAGATGGGTTGATCGCATCAATGATCTGACCTTTTCGGCTCACCGCCTCATTCCCTTGCCCATAGATCCTGAATGAACCATCATCCTTTGTGCATGCATACATACGCAAACGGGGAAAAGGACAAGAGTGCAATGACAAACAAGCTATTCGGAAGACACACACACACCCTCATATACACATCTTCACACACAAACACACACACACAGAGTTATATGTGCCGATTTGGAGAGCTGGCAAGTACAGAACTGTTCAGCTACTGAATTGAAGTGCTCCTTTTCACATGTGGCATTATGTGTTGGTTATGCCCTATGCACTTAAGGAGTCTACGTCTCCTTTTGTGTCTGTTGCAATCGTCTTGGCTGGCGTATGAACGAGATCAGTGGGCTGTGCTAGTATGCCACCCACTAGCTTGTCGGTTGCAAGTTGGGCCAACTTTGGACGGACGCAGGCATGTGTGCAGTGTAGGCGTATTTGGGCATGTACAGGTGAAGAGACTCCTGTTGAATGTATGCATTTGTGTGTGTGCACATGTGTATATATGTGTATTTATGCGTATGCATGTGTATGAGAGGGTGGATGGACTGTGCAACAGTTCGGAGGCGCCAGCAACAATTGACAAGAGCCTTCCCTGCATCCGGCCAAGATTCTGAACGAGTTGCCCCCTGTTGATGATTCCCGATGGTTGTTATGTCCACAAATAATGAATGGTTCTAACCAAGTAAACTGTGAAAGATCGAGATCCGATGTAGAAGAGTCCAACCGACAAGCTAGGCATGTACGTTTAAGGCTGATTCTTAGGTCCGAGTCCGACAAAATTAGGCATACCACGGCCTACTGACAGAATCGAAAAGAGTAGTACAATAAAAATATCGACGCATATTTCTCTCATTCGTCCAGGTCATATCGTAAACAAAACTTAATAATCTGACATTTTTCACAAATCAGACATGCATGCAGACATAAATATGCACAGATGCACAGGTACATCAACGAACCTTCATGCCAACCTTACGACAGGCTATGCGGTTTTGATCTTTTATCTGATCCTCTTCTCTTTACCATGTCTGGGCCACCTGTCTACGCGTTCATGATGTTCTTTGATTAGGCAATAAGTCAGGCTTTCGGTGAACTGTTATGTTATTTCCCATTTTTTTAGACCTTACTCTGCCCCATGCGCCCAACTCTTTGCTGCCTTTCCTCCTCTCGCGCATCATCTTTCGTTTCTCGGGCACCAACACTCATCACAGCCATAAGGCTTGGCATTAAAACACAAATGTTAGGCGAGCTAAATGGCATTGTAAGAAGAAATAAAGCACTAAACTTTGTTTTGGAGAGTCTTAGAATAAATTCCGAAACAGTGATTCTGTCCCATCAATCTTTACTGGCGCTGAAATCGAATTAGAGAAATCATTTTGATGGATAAAAACTCTAGAATTTTTGGTCGGTATTCGACAAGACAAAAAGAGCTCAGCATTCGTTTGAATGCAAGGTTTTATAGTGCGTAATTTCACTCGAATCCTTTTGTTTTTATTTAGGCTCACTTTATTTCATTCAGGCTAAAGCTCGTTTAGAAGACTTCTTATAAAATGAAGTCGTCCTAGTATTGCTTTGTGCATGCTAGAAATTGCATTTAAAGGACATTGCTGTTGGTATGATAGAAAAGAAAAAATTGTATGAGCTGATCGGTGTGTTAGAAGCAAATGGTTAAACTGTCTATGAGGATGTAACTTGTTTTTGGACAAAAAAGGCTTTCTCTCAAACTGGATTAGATTTTTGATCTCACCTGGGCTTATCATGTCTCCCAAAGGAAAAGAAGCAATGAAGTTTGCGTGAAAAATCTCAAAGAATACCTTGGCCAAGAAGAATGACAGTTCAGGGTCAGAAAGTGTTCACTAACTGAGGCTCTTCGCAAGGTCACCCGCATGTCAGTTATACCACTTATAGACACAAACAAAGACCCAAAGCAGCCTAAATGCATTGCTGCTTTCGCTATGCAAATCTAATGAGCTCTTTGTTTCGAAGATGCCATATGAAGATTCTTCGTCTGGTCATCAAAAGATGTTGGTTTATTATTCACTTATTTTTAAATTTACACCTACTCCCTAGTCCAAGCTCATAATATTCATTAAAGTGACAAGAACATAAGAAATAATTTAAAATATTTAGCTTATTTAAATGAAAAATGAATGAATGTATATTATAAAATATTTTATTAAATGTATTAAACAAATACAGCGGAAAGTTTTGAAATCAAATATATATAATATCAGGATAAAAATACTTTGGACTCCTATAACTTGTATAAGTATATAAGTAAAAATAAAATTTTTTGTTGTTGTTCTAACATTTATATAATTAGTAATAGCAGCTTCAGTTCAGTATGGCTGAAAATTGGTCCTTTACGTTTCAATGTAAATAAATGTAGCATATATTTCAGGCCATATCCGTATTCATAGTTATTATATTTCTATACCATGGGCGTATAATGTTAAGAATTATAGTGACCTTAGTTGGCATAACGAAAGTTTGATGCTGGGGTACCACCTAGTTGGTAGAAAGGGTTCTTGAATTGGTCTCATATGATATCACATTCACGACTGTAATACCTCGGTCCATTCTTTCTGAAGTTTCATCCATCTTGTGATGCAAATTGTCATATTGATAATCTATTTATGGACAACCATAAAAAAATACTAAACCAAATTATACCAATTTACGAATTCCTTCCATCCGCCTTTTCATACGAGATGAAATGTATGCCTTCACCACGATACTAAGGGATACTTCCAAGCCCGCATTGTTTCCATGACAAGCTTTTAGATAAATAGCTGCATTTTCCCAAAATTGAAGCAAGTAGAGATTAGGATATCAGTTAATTTCACTTGTACTTGCATACAAAACCGTTTCCATATTCGCAGTGGACTTTAATTTCTACCTCGACTGGATGTAACCAATACCCTCAGCGGAAACTCTCGACACATGTGACATTTATGGCAAACCAGACCAGTCTTGTATGAAGCCTATTGTGCGATTATTGATGAGGCAAATTTATATTTGCCATTAGAATTAACACTATGAGTATGACCAGATTTCAACTCTCATTGGGGTTGCTGAAGGGACCGAGGCGAGAGCAGATCGGCAGCCGACTTTGAATAGGAATAGCTTTTGATGATGCGAGGCTAAAGGAAATTCATGAGCATCGCTAGAACACTGCATATAGTTTGGGGAAAATTCAACTATCAGTTCTAAATTACCTTCCTATTCACGTTCACATTCGTCCAACTTGTCTGCTAAGCTCATCAATTTAAACAAACGTGCATTTTGAGACCACACAATCAAAATCACGCTTTCATTTTGTCATTAAATCTTAATGACCTTGTACTGGTACTACTCTGTGTTTTGAGTATTTATATTTCTGATTGTCGGTTTCATAGCCCAACTTACATACTTACACATATACACACACTTACCCATACATACACCAACACACCAATAGTTAGATTTGCCTATACCATTTATGGAGTATTTAATTTTTCTTTTAGTTGTTGTGAGTTAGCATTTTTTACTTATAATTGGCTTGACGTTTTTTTAAGGATGATAAAGAGTTCTGATGTTGTCTGCACAGTGGCTTTGGAATGGAAAGATGAGCTCGTTTTCACCGGGCTCATTGTAGTAGAAATAACTGCGGATCTACAGGAATTTTGTTTCGTATTGAGGTAATTTGTTGCAACATTGCACTGCATCAAGCATAAAATGAAAGTATTTCGAATAAACCTTTGAAGTTGGTGACGCAGATTTACCTTAACCATATTTTCTTATCGTTTTGGTTCACCTCCTCCTCAGTAGACAAATAATTTGCTTACAGGCTGAGCCCTGAAATAACAGGTTGGAGTTAGAAAAGAAACATTATGAAGAAAAATATACCGTAAAATGTATTAACATCTTAAGGCCTACTTATATCATTGTGTGTGAAAATTAACTACCCATCCTTGCATCACGTCAAGCGACCTAGCGTGACGAATTTCTTATTCAAAAATTACTGATAGCTTCGAGAAACATAATTTCATCTCAAATTACATTTTCTTCCTCTCTATTACCACTTTCGGTTGACGAATATCTCCACACATATGAGACATTCTTTCTCTCCTCAATCGTGTCTTGACGACTCATTTCAACTTACTGGAATATACCCTTCTACGGCAAATTAGTGTTCTCACATGGTTTAGCAAATACAAAGAAACTTATCTTTATCATGGAAAGGAATCGTGTCCATATTAATTCTGATTGTTGTTCTTGCGAATAAAATTTCATGTCAAGTACCAGATAAAGAGATTCGGGTGAATATTGGCTGAGATGTCTTCCGTCACATTATAGACATTCTTGATGCTCCCTCTTAGTCCTACAAAAGGAACCTAAAGCAAATACCAAGTCAAAAAGGCTATGTCGTATATATATATATAAGTACAAATAGAAAATAATGAGAAAATATAAATGGATATAAAATTATTTAATTTATTTCTCTATATATCTGTATGTGAATTCTTTTATATTTGATTTGGTGCATGAGTAAGTTAGGATCAAAATCTCCAGTAAAAATGAAGAGTACTGTGAAATGCATGGTGATTTCAGGGTAGTTAAAGGTTGATGACCCATGAAAAGGCATAATATCAGATGTATTTATGATAAAGCTTGTGGGATCACAGATGAGTGAAACTAATAATATAATGTAAGACTCATCAGTAACTCCATCAATTAGGTTGCTTTCTTTTTGTAAGCAGCTCGAGAGATTCTATCTTTGAGTCTC